AAAAAAAAAAAAAACAAAAAAAAAAAACAGACTAAGATACTACAAAAAAAAATTATAGACCAATATCACTGATGAATATAGATGCAAAAATCCTCAACAAAATACTAGCAAACAGAATCCAACAACACATTAAAGGGGTCATACACCATGATCAAGTGGGATTTATCCCAGGGATGCAAGGATTCTTCAATATATGCACATCAATCAATGTGATAACCATATTAACAAACTGAAGAATAAAAACCATATGATCATCTCAATAGATGCAGAAAAAAGCTTTTGACAAAATTCAACACCCGTTGATGATAAAAACTCTCCAGCAAGTGGGCATAGAGGGAACCTACATCAACATAATAAAGGCCATATATGACAAACCCACAGCAAACATCATTCTCAGTGTTGAAAAACTGAAAACATTTCCTCTAACGTCAGGAAGAAGACAAGGATGTCCACTCTCGCCACTATTACTAAGCATAGTTTTGGAAGTCCTAGCCACGGCAATCAGAGAAGAAAAAGAAATAAAAGGAATACCAATTGGAAAAGAAGAAGTAAAGCTGTCACTGTTTGCAGATGACATGATACTATACACAGAGAATCCTAAAGATGCCACCAGAAAACTACTAGAGCTAATCAATGAATTTGGTAAAGTTTCAGGATACAAAATTAATGCACATAACTAATAAGAACCTGATATATATTTTAAAAAACTCAAAAATTCAGAAAAAAGAAAAAATTAATGCACAGAAATCTCTTGCATTCCTGTACACTAATGATGAAAAATCTGAAAGAGAAATTAAGAAAACACTCCCATTTACCATTGCAACAAAAGGAATAAAATACCTAGGAATAAACCTACCTAGGGAGACAAAAGACCTGTATGCAGAAAACTGTGAGACACTGATGAAAGAAATTAAAGATGATACAAACAGATGGAGAAATATACCATGTTCTTGGATTGGAAGAATCAATATTGTGAACGTGACTATACTACCCAAAGCAATCTACAGATTCAGTGCAATCCCTATCAAATTACCAATGGCATTTTTTACAGAACTAGAACAAAAAATCTTAAAATTTGTATGGAGACACAAAAGACCCCAAATAGCCAAAGCAGTACTGAGGGAAGAAAACGGATCTGGAGGAATCAGGCTCCCTGACTTCAGACTATACTACATAGCTACAGTAATCAAGACAATATGGTACTGGCACAAAAACAGAAATATAGATCAATGGAACAGAATAGAAAGCCCAGAGATAAACCCACGCACCTGTGGTCAACTAATCTATGACAAAGGAGGCAAGGATATACAATGGAGAAAAGACAGTCTCTTCAATAAGTGGTGCTGGGAAAACTGGACAGCTACATGTGAAAGAATGAAATTAGAACACTCCCTAACACCATACACAAAAATAAACTCAAAATGGATTAGAGACCTAAATGTAAGACTGGGCACTCTAAAACTCTTAGAGGAAAACATAGGAAGAACACTCTTTTACATAAATCACAGGAAGATCTTTTTTGATCCACCTCCTAGAGTAATGGAAATAAAAGCAAAAATAAACAAATGGGATCTAATGAAACCTAAAAGCTTTTGCACAAAGGAAACTACAAACAAGATGAAAAAACTCTCAGAATGGGAGAAAATATTTGCAAACAAATCAACGGACAAAGGATTAATCTCCAAAATATATAAACAGCTCATGCAGCTCAATATTTAAAAAAAACTCAATCCAAAAATGGGCTAAAAACCTAAATAGACATTTCTCCAAAGAAGACATAAAGATGGCAAGGAAGCACATGAAAAGCTGCTCAGGGGCTTCCCTGGTGGCGCAGTGGTTGAGAGTCCGCCTGCTGATGCAGGGGACACGGATTCATGCCCCAGTCTGGGAAGATTCCCCATGCCGCGGAGCGGCTGGGCCCGTGAGCCATGGCTGCTGAGCCTGCGCGTCCGGAGCCTGTGCTCCGCAACGGGAGAGGCCACAACAGTGAGAGGCTCACATACCGAAAAAAAAAAGAAAAAAAAGCTGCTCAACATCACTAATTATTAGAGAAATGCAAATCAAAACTATAATGAGGTATCACCTCACACCAGTTAGAATGGGCATCATCAGAAAATCTACAAACAACAAATGCTGGAGAGGGTGTGGAGAAAAGGGAACCCTCTTGCACTGTTGGTGGGAATGTAAGTTGATACAGCCACTATGGAGAACAGTATGGAGGTTCCTTAAAAAACTAAAAATAGAATTACCATATGACCCAGCAATCCCACTACTGGTCATATACCCAGAGAAAACCTTAATTCAAAAAGACACATGCACCCCAATGTTCATTGCAGCACTATATACAATAACAAGCTCATGGAAGCAACCTAAATGCCCATCGACAGACAAATGGATAAAGAAGATGTGGTACATATATACAATGGAATATTACTCAGCCGTAAAAAGGAATGAAATTGGGTCATTTGTAGAGACATGGAGGGATCTAGAGACTGTCATACTGAGTGAAATAAGTCAGAAAGAGAAAAACAAATATTGTATATTAACACATGTATGTGGAACCTAGCAAAATGGTACAGAAGAACTGGTTTGCAGGGCAGAAATAGAGTCACAGATGTAGAGAACAAACGTATGGACACCAAGGGGGGAAAGTGGCGGGGGATGGGGGATAGTGTGATGAATTGGGAGATTGGGATTGACATACATACACTATTATGTATAAAATGGATAACTAGTAAGAACCTGCTGTATAAAGAAATAAAATTCAAAAGTAAATTTTAAAAATAAATAAAAAAAAGAAAACTACAATGAGAGAAGGAAAAGAACTACACCTCACACTAGTCAGAATGGCTGTCATCAAAAAGTCTACAAATAAATGCTGAAGAGGGTGTGGAGAAAAGGGAGCCCACTGACACTGTTGGTGGGAATGTAAATTGGTACAGCCACTATGGAGAACAGTATGGAGGTTCCTTAAAAAACTACAAATAAAGTTACCATATGATCCATCAATCCCACTCTTGGGTATATTTCTGGAAAAGATAAAAACTAATTTAAAAAGATACATGCACCCCAATGTTCATAGCAGCACTGTTTACAATAACCGAAGCATGGGGCTTCCCTGGTGGCACAGTGGTTAAGAATCCGCCTGACAATGCAGGGGACACAGGTTCGAGCCCTTGTCCGGGAAGATCCCACGTGCTGCAGAGCAACTAAGCCCATGTGCCACAACTACTGAGCCTGTGCTCTAGAGCCCACGAGCCACAACTGCTGAAGCCCTCGTGGCACAACTACTGAAGCCCCCACACCTAGAGCCCGTGCTCAACAACAAGAGAAGCCACCACATTGAGAAGTCCGTGTACCGCAACGAAGAGTAGCCCCTGCTCGCCGCAACTAGAGAAAGCCCATGCGCAGCAACGAAGACCAAATGCAGCCAAAAATAATTAAATAAGATTTATTTAAAAAAAAAATAGCCAAGGAATGGAAACAACCCAAGTGTTCATCAACAGATGAATGGATAAAGAAGATGTGACATACACACACACACACACACACAATGGAATATATTACTCAGCCATAAAAAAGAATGAAATAATACCATTTGCTGTAACATGGATGGAGTGGAGATTATCATACTAAGTGAAGTAAGTCAGACAAAGACAAATACTAAATGATATCACTTATATGTGGAATCTGAAAAATAATACAAATGAACTTTTTACAAAACAGATAGACTCACAGACATAGAAAACAAACTTATGGTTACCAAGGGGGAAGGGGGGTGGGGTGAGGGATAAATTAGAAGTATGGATTAAGATGTACACTACCACATACAAAATAGGTAAACAACAAAGATTTACTGTATAGCACAGGGAGCTATATTGAATATCTTGTGACAACATATGGAAAAGAATAAAAAAACCCAACATATATATGTATAACCGAATTACTTTGCTGTGCATGTGAAACTAACACAATATTGTAAATCAACTATACTTCAATACAAAAAAAAAAAAGATGTATGTTTATAGAAGTCCAAGATGTAATAAGCAAAAAAAAAGCAAGTGTCAGAACTAAATGTGTATAGTAAGGTACATTTTTAGTTATATACCTATTCCACATTATATGGATGTGTAATGTTTGAATTTTACCAATGAAATTTATTACTTTTATAATAAAAACATCAATATAAATGAGATCCTGATACTTTTAAAAAATTAGGGCCTCCTAATGAACTTGCATGTTATGGGGTCTTCAAAATCTCAGCTTTGGAAAGCCTATAATCCACTTTGTTCATTTAGAGATGATCAGACTTCAAGAACTGACTAATTAAGCAAAACTGGCAAGAGACTTGTAAGACTCAGAAGCCAGATGCCAATGTTTTGATTTACATTGGGATATTGAACGACTTGTTTTTGTAAACTCAGAAGCAGTGCTATGTGCCTTGTTTGGCCAGAATCTAAAGCAGAACTCTAAGGCTTATGACATTTGTGTGGTTGTGTGATGAAAATGAGAGGGTGAAGCATTTGCCATAATAACCTTCATTCATTTTAAAGGCAGATCTGTCTTCACTGACATTTAGGCTATAGAGAGGTGCTGCTGAAGCAATGTTGACAGATAGCAGCTCAAAAAAAAAAAAAAAAAAAAAAGGCAGAAAAATGTTTTAAGGGTAGAACAACCATCTCAAATGTCTGTGCTAATACATAGGAAATCCGGAAAAGAAAGCTACAGACAGATAACAGATATGCCTGAATAAGCTTCTTAAGAAGTCAAACTCCTAAGAAAACTACTTCAAAGAAGCCCTCTGAATCCTATAGACTTGTTGAAAGTGTTCTCTTGCTTTCTGATTTTTTATAGAAAAGTAAGGGCAGAAGCAAACTGATATCTTGTCAGAGTTTTTAATTGTATTATTTAAATTACTACTTAGATTAATTCATTTGCACAGATTTGTAAAAGCTTTATATCCCAGAATATAATGAAATACAGTATTTGCGGTTATTGCTATTAAAATTAGTCATCTTTCTCGTTATGTCAAGAACATAATCCCTTTTAGGTAGCTGTTTCTAGCATGAAATAATTCCAGTTTGATCTACAATACCCTTTCCAGGAACATAAAATGCCTTGCATGTAAGGACCTCTTAGGTGTAAGAGGACCTTTCATTTATCTAGGAATAGTGCTGGAGATCCCATGATTGGGCACAGTGGTGAATCTGGGAATAAATACCTAGTCTACCTTTAGCTTTTCACTTATTTGCTATATTGCAAAGTAATGGAGAGAGAATTTGGTAGGCTTAGTATACTGGAGAAATTGACATGACTCAAGAGTAGTGACAGGTTCCAGTACACCACTGGGTCCTTCTGTCTGAGCAATGCATGACATAAAACCAGCTAATTAAGCCACTTATATTCTGAAAATGTAGGTTTATATTGCTGTGACAGAGCTGAAGATCATGCTTGCCAAAATGCCTGCAAGAGAATTCTGATGTCTAAGAAAACAGAAATGGAGATTGTTGATGGCCTCATCGAGGGTTGTAAGACCCAGCCTTTGCCTCAGGATCCACTTTGGCAGTGTTTTCTTGAAAGCTCACAATCTGTTCACCCTGGAGTCACTGTACACCCTCCTCCCTCTACAGGCCTTGATGGCGCTAAATTGCACTGTTGTTCTAAAGCAAACACTTCAACGTGTAGGTCAGTACCTCATTTTCCTTTATTAAAAACAGTAGAAAATAGCATTTTAATTAATGAATTTAAGTCTAGCAAATGTGTGTTATGTTCTTGCACTGTGTAGTCTTAAGAGTCTAGAAGATATAAAATCATTCTTTCATCCAGCAGATATTTATTGAGCATGATGTATATATAGAACATTGTTTTTGTACGTTGAGCTAAAAGCAATGTAGCGGTGTGGAGGTTTTGCGGTGTGGAGGTTTAGCATTGGCAGGGCAATAAATATTTAAAGATGATGCAATATGAATTCTACCCTCGAGGTTATCGTCAAGTAAGCTTACAATTTAGGAGATGTTTTGACCAGACATCTAAGGGATATTCTTTTTGTTAAATTGTGAAACTTTGAACTTAATCAACTTTTTGCATGTGTTGGTGAATAACCTGGGCTGGCACTTATATCCAAAGTTAGACAGCAGTGTATTGGCATTCATTTGGATGATACACTTAGGGATAAAAAATTGGCAATACTGTTTGTGTAGGTTGGAGGAAACACAATCTAGAGATAAGAATAAATGGAGATAAGGTAAAGGTTTAACATAGGCAAAACAGAAGTTTGCTTTATTAGAGATATTTTGGGTGAAAAGGTACCACATATTACTAGAATATCCTGAAATGAATATGACATACGAGGAGTGAAACGATCTTTCCTCTGGTTTCTAAACTGGATGGACTTTAGCAAAAACTTGTGCCTAGAATAGCTCATCAGACTTTATCAAAGATATGAAAAAATCTGGAAAACATCCAAAGAAAATTAACAGAAGGGCTAAAAGAGAAGTTAAGTTGGCCCTATAATTCAGGAAATTGTATTGCTGATAGGAATTAATAAATGTACATATGGGAGGGATGCTGAGTACTTCTTTGAATGTCTACAAAAGAGTTTATGCCCTGTAGTCACTGGAGATAGGACTGGCTGTGTCATCCCAGAAGAATTTCAGTAAGAAACGTGGCACCTCTTACCTTGATGTAAGGTTTTATGGTTTACTGAATGCTTTCACTTTCATCTTGTTTCATCCTCATGAAACCTTACAAGATGACTGGTATCATCTTATGACTGATGTCAATTTGTATAATTCTTGTATATATATAGAAAACTAACTCTGAGATGTTAAACAATCTGTCCAAGGTCATTCAGAAAGTTAGGACTAAAGAAAGGACTGATTTCCAGATCAAGGTACCTAATGGATTTTTTTTTTTTTTTTTTTTTTATGGCTGCGTTGGGTCTTAGTTGCTGCGTGCAGGCTTTCTCTAGTTGTGGCAAGCTGGGCTTCTTTGTTGCGGTGCGCGGGTTTCTCATTGCTGTGGCTTCTCTTGTTGCGGAGCACAGGCTCTAGGCACAGAGGCTCAGTAGTTGTGGCACGTGGGCTCAGTAGTTGTGGCTCACGGGCTCTAGAGCACAGGCTCAGTAGTTGTGGTGCACAGGCTTAGTTGCACCGCGGCATGTGGGATCTTCCTGGACCAGGGCTCAAACCTGTGTCCCCTGCATTGGCAGGCAGACTCTCAACCACTGCACCTCCAGCGAAGTCCCTACCTAATGGATCTTGATATCAGCTTTCTCATCCCCATCATGTGTAAGCTCAATTGAGAGCAGGGACTTTGTCTCTTTTATTCACCACTGCATTTCCAGTGCCTTCAACAGGGCCTCACACAAAACAGGCACTCAATAAATGCTGGTAGAGTGAATGAGCAAACTTATAAAAGTAAAGATACCCTCCTCATAGGGGTAATTATGAGAGTCAAAATGTGACAGGGGTGGAGAATTTCTACTTGTGATTTTGCATATTCCGGTAGTATTAAAATTTTATATTATGTGTTACTTTTTTTTGACACTTTTATTACATTTATAAATGTTAAAAATTAAACTAATGAATATAATGTGTGAAAGCACTTTGGAAATGATACTGATGTTATTTTAGCTTTATATATGCACTGAAGTTGCTTTATAATCATCGAGTACTGAAATAAAAATGCATACATACTACAATAGTGTATATATATATATATATATATAGTATATATTACTATATACAATAGTTTATAGCAGCTTTGGAATTCATAAAACCTTTACATGTAGGCTATCTTGGTATATCTTAAGGAATGTAAGTGGCTTGGGGATACTTTTTCAGGGAGAATCCAGTGAACCCTAAGTCTATAATGCTTTTTAAAAGGAGTCTGGGGCTTCCCTGGTGGCGCAGTGGTTGAGAGTCCGCCTGCCAGTGCAGGGGACGCGGGTTCGTGCCCCGGTCCGGGAAGATCCCACGTGCCGCGGAGCGGCTGGGCCCCTGAGCCATGTCCGCTGAGCCTGCGTCCGGAGCCTGTGCTCCGAAAGGGGAGAGGCCAAAAGAGTGAGGCCCCCACACCCCAAAAAAAAAAAAAAAAAAAAAAGGAGTCTGAGGATCATGTCACAGTTTTGCCTCCTGTGATTGAAGTATAAATATAGTGGACTATATCTTTGTGGAGGCAACACCATATGCTTTACCTTACTTCAAGTAAAGGTAAAAGAGAGATCAGAAATATAAAGGGGAATAATTGTGCCAAGAATAAGGATGTACAATACTATAATTAAACATTAAATTTAGCACTGAACTTTCTAGAAACCATAGCAAAAAGGAAAGAGATGGATAATAAAGCTAACTTTTTCATATAAAAGATGACTTTTTCAGGCTCTAAATTCTAGAAGATAGATCTTAGTCTTTTGGTTTTTGTACTTTTTTTTTCGTTTATGTTCTAAAGTACAGTTCATAGAGTTCACGTTTTATGCAAATCAAATATTTATTCATTTGGCTCATCTGTACGTTTCTTCATTTGTTCTTTTGTTTCAGGGAACTGTGCACTAAACTTTATAGCATGAGCTGGGGCAATACACAGAGTTGGCAAGAGTTTGATCGCTTTTGTGAATATAATCCAGTGGAAGTGTCCATGTTGACCTGTTTAGCAGATGTTCGGGAACCTTGCCAGTTGGGCTGTAGAAATCTTACCTACTGTACTAATTTTAACAACAGGTAGGAGCAAATTACTATATGTGGAATAGAAGTATTTTATCATTAATTGCCTTGTTTTTAAATAAGTGAAAAGATCATTTTACTCTGATTTTGTTCCTGCTAAGTTAAAAGGAAGTAGTATACCTTTATCATTTCATCTTTAAATGCTATATTCTATCTTGTAAATCACCCCTGGGAAAGGAAGCACTGTAACAAAGTCCCTTCTAATCTCATGATACTTCAAACTTCTAGAACTCAAAGAGTCTCCTCTGCCTTCAGTCTACCATTCTTCCCCGCTCCCTTCTGCTGCACCACCAGTGGAAATAATTCACTGCAGAATAAAACACTGTGAGCAATTTGCTCATCCAAATGCCCTCTTACGGACAATTTGTGTTTTTTTTGTTTTTTTGTTTTTGTTTTTGTGGTACGCGGGCCTCTCACTGTTGCGGCCTCTCCTGCTGCGGAGCACAGGCTCAGGACGCGCAGGCTCAGCGGCCATGGCTCATGGGCCCAGCCGCTCCGCGGCATGTGGGATCTTCCCAGACCGGGGCACGAACCCGTGTCCCCTGCAACGGCAGGCAGACTCTTAACCACTGCGCCACCAGGGAAGCCCGGACAATTTGTTTTGAAAGACCTTCAGATTGGTTGAAGTTCCCACTCAGTGAGTCCCCTATTTCATACAAAAACTTTCTTTACAGAAGCAATTTGAATAGGTGTTTCCCTGAGATATCAGTTAAGGTATGAAAAATAAGGGCCAAGAACTGAATTAATGGCTGAAGAAGCAATGAAGAAAACAGAAAAAGGGCATCCAGAAGCATAGAGAATGCCATATCAGAGAAGCCAGAGAGGGAGAGTTTCTAAAGAAAAGGGGACTGGCTGGTTTTATGAGCTGCAGCCCAGAGATCAAGAACACAAAAAGGAAGAGAATCATTCAGTTGAGGCAGAAGGAAGTTCAGAGGATACTCACCTCAAGCTAACACACATCCGATCCTCTTAAAAGTATTCAGATTATTATTTTGAGTAAGAAAATTGAGATATCTTCACAACTAGTGTTAGCCAATAAGGACCTGGCTTAGAGGTTGAGCAAATTTGAAGTCTATGAAATGTTTCAAGTTAAATTTGCACATAGTTCTAGCTTCTGGTAATGGTGGAGCAGTTTGTATCAGACTGCCATTCCTGTCAGTACCAATTATGAGCTCTGCACAAAATATAAAAACATAATTGTTTTGAAGCCATTTGAGAGTGACCAAAAGCAGGAGGAAGTACATCTCATGAAAGATAGAAGCCACACTGAGTGGGGGCCACATTTATCCAGTTTTTTCTTCATGGGCACTCTCAGTCCCCTGGCATGGCATATAGAATTCAAGCAAAAAGCAGCAGTCTTGGGCTGAGGAGTTAAGAGATCACAGTTTGGGGCTGCCAGAGTGGCTGGATATGAAATTGGAAAATCCCAGAAAGGAGGGAACCACAAAAGGAGATGCCCCAACAATCTGCATACAAGCTCCCCTTAAATCCTTGAATTTAACAAAGTCACAGGGTACAACTTTAACATACAAAAGCCAATTGTATTTCTGAATATTAGCAACAAACAATTAGAAAATGAAATTTATAAAAAAAAATTTACACAATTGCATCAAAAATATGAAATACTTAGAGATTAACAAAAGATGTGCAAGAACTCTACACTAGGAGCCAGAAAACTTTGAAGAGAGAAGTTAAATGGAGAGAAGTACCATGTTCATGGATTAGAAGACTCAATATTGTTAAGATGTTAATTCTCCTGAAACCAATCTCTAGATTCCGTGCAATCTCAATCAAAATCCCAACCAGCTTTTTAAAATAGAAAGTGCCAGACTAATTCTAAAATTCATATGAAAAGACAAATAACCTAGAAGAGCTAAAACAATTTTTTTAAGGAATAAATTTGGAGAACTTACAGTACATGATTTCAAGACTTATTATAAAGCAATAGAAATTAAGTCAATGTAGCAATTCCCTGGTGGTCCAGTGGTTAGGACTCTGTGCTTTCACTGCCGAGGGCCCAGGTTCAGTCCCTGGTCAAGGAACCTAAGATCCCACAAGACGTGTGGTGCAGCCAAAAAAGAATAATAATAAATTATATAATAATAAATAAATAAATTTTTTTTAATTTTAAAAAGAAATTAAATCAATGTAATATTGGCATAAGTTTAGACATATAGATCAATGACAAAATAGGCAAGAATAGACCCACACATATAAATTGATTTTCAACAAAGGCAGCAAGGCAATTCAGTGCAAAAAGCAACATCTTACCAACAAATGATGCTGGAACAACTGAATATCTGTATGAAAAAAATAAAACCTTAACCTCCATCTCACACCATCCACAAAAATTAATTCAAGATGGGTCGTAGAACTAAACATAAAAGCTAAAAATAAAAGCTTCTAGAAAAAAAAAATAGGAGACTATGTTGATAGCCTTGATATAGCCAGAGATTTTGTAGGCAGGACACAAAATACACTAATTATAAAAGAAAAAAATTAATGAACTAGAGTTCAACAGTAAACATTTTTGTTCACCAAAAGACACCATTTAAAATTTGAAAAGATAAGCCACAGTCTGAGAAAAAATATTCAATATATTACACATGTACACACACACAATCACACACACGTGCATTTGACAGAGGTCCTGTATACAGAATATATAAATAACTCCCACAGCCTCATAATAAAAAGTCAAACAACCCAATTAAAAAATGGGCAAAAAATTTTCAAGGACACTTCATCAAAGAAGACATCAAAAGAGCCACTTAGTATATGAAAAAGTGTATTACCATTAGTTATGTAAAATGCAAATAAAAACCCCAATGAGATGCCTCCTCATACCAAATAGTTAAAATTAGAAGACTGACAAGCATGTAAACCAACTAGAAGTTTCATACATTGCTGGTGAGAGTGTAAAATGGTATGACCACTTTGGAAAACAGTTTGGCAGTTTCTTAATAAGTTATGACCCAAAAATGTCATTCATAGCCAGGGGAAAGAGACATGAAAACTAGAAACAACCTTAATGTCTATAAAACAGTGAATGAATAAACCAGCATTTCTCAAAGTGTGGTCTGCGGCCCCCAAAACCCCTTGAGATCAAAACTATTTTTATAATAATACTAAGATGTTATTTGCCTATTTCACTCACATTCTCAAAAGAGTGAAGAGTGAAGTTTTCCAGCTGCTTTAAGACATGATACAGCAACAGATTGAATGTAGGAGCAGATATGAAAATGCAGCTGTCTTCTATAAAGCCAGACATTAAATAGATTTTCAAAACTATAAAACAGATCTACCCTTCTCACTAATTTTTGCTTTAACATGTAATGGGTTTATTATCATTTTAAATGAATAAGTACTTTAAAAATCTCTCAGTTTTGATTTACAGTGTGATGGGTAGGGGTGGATATAACCCACATAAACAAAAACTTTTTGAGAACTTAATAATTTCAAGAATGTAAATGAGTCATGAGATCAAAAAGTTTGGGAACCACTGAGATAAACAAATTGTGGTACATTTATTAATGGAATACTACTGAACAATAAAAAGAACAATTTATATGTATAACAACATAAGTAAATCTCAAGAAGATTATTTAGCTAAAGACACTAGACCCAAAAGAATACATATAGTATGATTCCATTTATATGAAGTTCTACAACGGGCAGAATTAATCGACGGTGATCTAAGCACAGATGGTGGTGGCCTCTGGGGTGCAGTCAGCAGGGAGGGCATTGACTGGACAGGGACACAAAGGAACTTTCTGACATGATGGAAATGCTTCTTTATTGATTTGGATATGCCTGTGTAAAGGTACATGTTTGTTAAATCACATCAAACTAACCATAAAATCTGTAAATTTTATTTTTATAAATAATACCTCAATTTTTAAAACTTGGACTTTAATATTTATTTTGTGAAATGAAAGAAATGGTATAGTTGGAGATGATAGTCCTGTCCACAGTGTTTTAAAGTTTTTAACTGCCTCACAAAAATCCATATTATAAAGAAAAATTGCAATCAGAGTCTTAATGCTAGTGTCTATGTCTACATTGAATTTTCATATATTCAAAGCTGACAATCTTTGATAGGTTGTATGTACTTTCCTTAAAAAAAAAATCAGATTTTCCTGATGCATTGGCATGTCAAGATTTTACACATTGTTTCTCTGTAGAAAGTAATTGCCTCTTGATTCCTTCTGGACTTTTTTCTCTTCAGACCAACAGAACTTTTCAGGAGTTGCAATGCTCAGTCAGATCAAGGAGCCATGAATGACATGAAGCTGTGGGAGAAAGGAAGCATAAAGATGCCATTTATCAACATACCTGTTCTTGACATTAAAAAGTGCCAGCCAGAAATGTGGAAAGCAATAGCTTGTTCACTGCAGATTAAACCTTGTCATAGTAAATCCCGGGGAAGTATTATTTGCAAGTAAGTTTCTTTCATCATAATGACTCTCTGGTTTTGGTTCAGACCTTTCATGATCTCTACTCACAGCCTATCTTTAGTTTTCTTTCCCACCACTTCCTTTTGCCCATCACCCCCACATGTTAAATGCTTTTCCTCCTCTGCTGAAAATACTCTTCCATCTCCACTCGCCCACTGCCTGTCCTTCTTAGCCTCTCTCAAATACCAGTCATTCCTATGGAATCTTCCCAGATTTCTCCAGCTGATAGTAATTTATCCTTACTACAAATTTCTGTAGACCTTTATTTGTACTTCTCTTATGGAACTTAGTTCAAGAAACATTGCATATCTTCAATGCACAATTCTATTTGTATATTTTAATTTGTGTACTTGTTTTATATTCTGTTAGACCTTGCTCTCCTTGAGGAGTTCATTCTTCTTTGTACCTCTCTTTTCTTATCTCCTCTCTCCACTTTTTCTCCTCTTCAGGGATTAGCATAATCCTAATATGCAATAGGTATTCCAAAAATGTTTGATGAGTGAAAGACTTAGTAAATATAGTCATTAGGGCCTGTTCCTAAAACATTTTGTGAATGGTTTGCTTAAGATCTAGGATAAAGTACAAGGACCTACTGTATAGCACAAGGAACTATACTCAGTATTTTGTAATAACCTATAAGGGAGAAGTATCTGAAAAAGAATGTATATATATATAAAGAAAAAGAATATATATATATATAACTGAATCACTTTGCTATACCTGAAACTAACACAACATTATAAATAAAACTATACTCCAATAAAAAATAAAATTTTAAAAAAGTAAATAGGAAGACAAAAAAAAAAAGGATCTAAGATAAAGATGAAAGCTGCTATGGTGGGTGAAACCAAAAGCATTAACTACATAGTAATCTGTGTCAGCTGCTCTTCGAGCATCTTTTTTTCCAAAACCAAGGTAATATCCAGCCCTTAAGGTGTTGGTATGTGGCTCAGTGCTGCTGGGCACTTGATGACTGACTGCAGATTATTTCAACCTTGAATAGGGTCCGGATCTGTTCTCTGACATGACTTGAGGGTGGCCTGAGTAGGGGAGAGATGAGGGGTAACTACTGGGTGACAAGCAAGAGGCAACAAGTGGGAAATTTATAGACTCTTAGCACAGAAATTTTATAGATGTCAAATCCCTATTGAAGACAGAAAATTTTAAAGTAGTGGATTTTCCAGTTGTTATAGGCCAAACACCTTAATGTTGATAACAAAGCAGATTTTTAAAAAGAGAATGACAGGAAGGGAGTGATAGAAGAAGAAAGGAAGAAGCAAGCATGCATAAGGTCCTGAGACAATGTATGATTTTGCAAAGAGCAAATCAGATTAGCCTAGGTTCATTTCCTTTCAAAGACAGTGAAAAGCCACACTGATGGTAGTAACAGTAAGTATGAGTGTAACATTTGAGCAAGGCCTTTGATCTCAGGTCGGAGAAAGTTAGGCATGCTTTGATATGGTAATACATTACTTACTCCTCAACTTAATAAGGTCTGCTATCACTCCTATTCTCTTTTGTCATAGTTACACCTATAAAGTGTGAAACATTGTTGAGTTATGAAAACTGAAACAGAATTGATATTGGCTAGACAACGTGAGGCAGTTCCTCAAACCCTAAATTTGTGTGTGTTTTCCTTTTCAAGATCAGATTGTGTGGAGATTCTGAAGAAATGTGGGGACCAGAACAAATTCCCTGAAGACCACACAGCTGAAAGTATTTGTGAGCTTCTGTCACCTACAGATGACCTGGAGAACTGTATACCTTTGGATACATATCTCAGTAAGTACTTTGGTTTTTTTAATTTCAAAGGCTTCTCCCTTCTGTCTCTGCCCTTGTTGTTTGCTTTGGATGAGTATCATTCTGTTAAGAACATGTGGTTTAATGATACTACCTCAACTGCAGACTCTTATTTGCTTGGCCTCTTTGGCTCAGGAAAGAATTGTCATCTTTCTCTCTTTTCTTTTTTTAATTTTTATTGGAGTCTAGGTGATTTACAACGTTGTGTTAGTTTCAGGTGTACAGCAAAATGAATCAGTTATACATATACATATATATACTCTTTTTTAGATTCTTTTCCCGTATAGGACATTACAGAGTATTGAGTAGAGTTCCCTGTGCTATACAATAGATCCTTATTAGTTATCTGTTTTATATATAGTAGTGTGTATATGTCAATCCCCCCCATCTTAAAATATGTACAGAGAAGCAATTATTATATCAGTCTGAGGAGGTAGTGAACTGTTATCAATCAGGAATTCTAAGTGGTGAATCAGGGGCCAGCATACTCAGATAACCAGCCTTTTATCATTGCCGTCTCCTTGCCATGATTTGACCAAGAAGTGGAATTTCCCCTAGGGATTCTTCAGCTTTCTGTCGTCGGAATATCAGTGGACCTGAGCCAGGTGTTGGCTTGGACTTATCCACCAAATAGGGGGTAAGGAATCATGGTCTGGGTTAGTTCATGAAAAATGGAATTTTTCTGTGCCAAATACTCCTGCCAAGAGCTAGAAGAATAAGTTGGTATCTTCTTGAGGGATTCTGGAGCTAAGCTTCCTGGCAGGAGGTGACTATGTGTGGTGGAAACCAGGGATTAACAAGTAGAACTCATACACACCATGTAGTTAGGGTAAGGGAAGTGTTTAGGCTGCCACCAGGGGGCATTAGTGCCGTGGGCTAGCTGGAAAGGCAGTGAGTTCAGCTCCTGCTAGCTTTGTTTTCCTGTGTTAGAGAGGATTAAGTTCAACTGCAAATGACAGAACAGATAGAAGCAAAAGAAAGCCCAGAAGTAAATAGTCCAGGGCTGTTATAGTGGCTCCATCATCAGGAACCTAGCCTCCTTTTTCTTTCTCCACCATCCTTAGTGCTTGGCTTCCATCATCAAGGTTACTTCATGTATTTATCGTCACAACATGACTACTGTAATTCTAGCCACCATATCCTAGTGTAAGGGAAAACCACGCCTAATTGTAAGGGAAACTGGGAGAGATGTTTTTATCTGTGGGCCCATTGCCATCCTGCTATATATAGCAGAAAATGTCTGCTATATTTTCTCAAGACAAACAAACTGTGTCCCTTAGCCTTAGTGACCAGTATAGAAAAAAAGATAGCATTAGACTAGAATCATAGGCAGATCACTTCTTTGAGTCTCAGCTTCCCTATTTATAAAATGATTGGGCTGGATGAGATAAACTCCAAGAGCCCTCTACCTCTGTTAGCCTTAGAGGGTGAGTCTGGCCTAAAATCAAGTAGGCAAAATGAATGTATTCACAATCCTGGATGCTATTAGAGCAGTCAAATATATGTGTAGAAGGAAACTTTTTCAGTGGGAGGAAACTTAAAGAAATGCTTTTGTTTAAATTTCAATACTCTTTTTAAATATCACACATATAGTTGGCCCTGCATATCCACAGGTTCCGCATTTGCAGATTGAAAATATTCGGAAAAGAAAAATTCCAGAAGGTTCCAAAAGGCAAAACTTGAATTTGCTGTATACCTGGCAACTATTTACATAGCATTTACATTTTATTTACAACTATTTACATAGTATTAGGTATTATAAATAATCTAGAGATAGACTTCCCTGGTGGTACAGTGGTTAAGAATCCGCCTGCCAATGCAAGGATCACAGTTTCGAGCCCTGGTCCAGGAAGATCCCACATGCCATGGAGCAACTAAGCCTGTGCGCCACAACTACTGAGCCTGCACTCTAGAGCCCGCGAGCCACAACTACTGAAGCCCATGTGCCTAGAGCCCGTGCTCCACAGCAAGAGAAGCCACCCCGGGCTTCCCTGGTGGCGCAGTGGTTGAGAGTCCGCCTGCCGATGCAAGGGACACGGGTTCGTGCCCCGGTCCGGGAAGATCCCACATGCCGCGGAGCAGCTAGGCCCGTGAGCCACGGCCGCTGAGCCTGCGCATCCGGAGCCTGTGCTCTGCAACGGGAGAGTCCACAACAGTGAGAGGCCCGCGTATCGCAAAAAAAAAAAAAAAAAAGAGAAGCCACCGCAATGAGAAGCCCGCGCACCACAACGAAGAGTAGCCCCGCTCGCCGCAACTAGAGAAAGCCCGCGCACAGCAATGAAGACCCAACACAGCCAAAAATAAATAAATAAATTAATTTAATTAAAATAAATAAATAATCTAGAGATGATTTAAACTATACAGGAGAGAGTACTTAGGTTATATGCAAATACTATGTATGCCTTTTTTTTTTTTTTAATGGTTTTATATATTTATTTATTTATTTATTTATTTTGCGGTACGCGGGCCTCTCACTGTTGTGGCCTCTCCCGTTGCGGAGCACAGGCTCCGGATGCGCAGGCTCAGCGGCCATGGCTCACGGGCCCAGCTGCTCCACGGCATATGGGATCCTCCCGGACCGGGGCACGAACCCACGTCCCCGGCATCGGCAGGCGGACTCTCAACCACTGCACCACCAGGGAAGCCCCTGTATGCCATTTTATATAAAGGACTTGAGCATCCTCAGTTTTTGGTATCCATGGAGGTCCTGGAACCAATCCCCCACAGATGCTGAGGGATGACTGTATATTAAATGAGATCCTTCCTTGGTCATTGTTTAACAAGAAATATAATCATGGTATAGGGTCCATCTTACCATAATAAATTACCATCATTTATGGTGAAATGTGCTAAATTATCCCTCTTAGACATAAGCTATTTGACTACCTTATTGAAAATATACCTGTTACTTTCCATCCCCTTACACTGCTTATTATTTATTGTTATCTGACTTTTTATTTACATAGATACACACACACACACACACACACACACAGTGTCTATTTATTGTCTATTTCCTGATCAGAATGTAAACTCTATGTTAGAGATTTGTCTATTTTGTTCACTACTGTATCTCCAGTACCTAGAACCTTGCCAGGTGTATTGTAGGCGCCCAATAACATTTATTTATAACAAATGAATGAATGTATGTTTATGCTAAATGCACAAATGATCAAGGAATCCGAGTATTTTAATAGCTTACTAGAATCAGTCCTCATGAGCTGTCCATTTGTTCCAGATGTCATTAACTCAGACAGTTTACAGACCTCTGTTACTCTTTTGGGTTGGTTAAACTGATCTGTTTTTGTTTTTTCAGGACCAAGTACTTTGGGTAACATTGTAGAAGAAGTGACTCATCCCTGTAACCCAAATCCTTGCCCTGCTAATGAGCTCTGTGAGGTAAACCGGAAAGGGTGTCCGTCTGGTGATCCCTGCCTTCCATACTCTTGTGTTCAAGGTAAGAGGTAGATGGGTGGGGTGTGGGGTGGGTATGAGTACGTGCCTCTGCTGTTTCTTCACAGGAGTTATCTTTGGAATGAGATTATTTTCTAAATTATGTTTTTCTATAATGTTCAAGGTTTTTCCAACATGTATTATTTATGTAAGCAGAAAAAGACAAAGACAAATGTAATTTTCAATAGTCATTTTGATTGTAACCTAATTTCAATCCAAAACCAGACTCTCATAACGAGTCATAGGGTTCTTGACAACAAAAGAAGAAAGACCCTTGGGCCAGCTTTTTGTACTTTGTCTTCTATGCTGTAATGTTTGAGAAGGTGTACTGCACATTGTTCGTGTTTTTTCTTTTCTCTCCTTTAAAACATGGAGAAATAGCATTCTCAATCGGATGTGTAATTATCTTCGTAAATTTAATGTTGTGCTGAAATGCACATGATCTTAGGGCTGAAAAATTTTTATCCCATAGAATTTTTATGGTCTTTATCTCTCTGTGGGTCCCTTTAGAATATAGTTGCTTTCTTTTATCTATTTCCCAATTGAAAATGTTTCTTTATCGTGTTAGAATCAACATTTTTAAACATGTGTGAAGTAAAAAGGAACAAAAGATTAAATAAGCATGATGTCTCAAAAGACCATGTATAATATTTGTGTAATGCTATAATATATCAGCTATAGCATCATAATAAATCTTGTTAAATTTGGAAACAAATGGGTTTTCCTTAAGTCCAATCAAGTATTCAACTTTTCTTTGAACTTAAGATGTACTTGTATTCCATCACTAAAAGTTTTCTGACCAAGATTATTCTAAAACTAGTCAGTCGCCATACTCCATTTTAAAAATATCTGTGATTTTAACATACATTTGATAAGCCTAAAGAAATAAAAAACTACATATCTGATAGCATTTTTGTACAGAACTATTGCTAACTTCGAGGTACATGTCCTTTAATCATCACCATCTCACAGAACATGGAATTTTTGTTTGAGAGGTTATGCTTTTGGCCAGTGAAAGTTCTATTACATAATCTTCAGTGGCCACACAGTACCTATAAGACTTGTGTGAAGTGTATCTAATGTCATAAAACAATATCAGAGAACAATACCAACTCTCTCAGCTAATTTTGTCTATACAGGTTGCAAATTGGGAGAAGCATCTGATTTTATTGTCCGTCAAGGGACACTGATCCAAGTGCCATCATCTGCAGGGGAAGTTGGTTGTTATAAAATTTGCTCATGCGGGCAAAGTGGACTCTTAGAAAACTGTATAGAGATGCACTGTATAGACCTTCAGAAGTCTTGTATTGTTGGAGGAAAAAGAAAAAGTGAGTCTTGAACTGTTTTTGTTTTTAACATGAGATTAGTTATATTAATTTTGTAGGGAGAACATTGGATGGGTTCTCACCAGAAAGTAAAGTCTACAAAGCAGATATTCCAGGGAAGTATTTTTCAACTATACAGAACATGAGGACTTCTAAGGAACCCTCTTAGAAGCCTCATCAAGAAGGGACTAATAGCTAATAATAACTAACACTTGAACTCTTAACTGTGTGCCAAGCACTATGCTAAGTCTTGGCCTGTGTTATCTCCTTAAATCCTCCCAGTTGCTCTTCGATACGGGTGCTATTGTAAAGAAGCTGATGGTAAGAGAGGTCACCCACCTAGTAAGTGACCAAAGCAGTATTCAGTCCCAGGCCTATTCGACTCCAAAGCCCTTGCCCTCCACAGGCAAGGACACAGGTCTACCCCTCCCCACCCCTTCCTCAACAGTCTCTCTCCCCTCTGCCCCTTTCCCAGAAGTAAAACTCAGAGTTTGACGTCATGCAAAGCAAACTGGGGGATGGAAACTACACTGTTGATTCGTGGTTGCGAGAGAGCACATTAAAAGGTGCCCTGCTTTATCGCCTTCTCTAAAAGTCTAAGAGTCTTGCTTTCTCACTGTTTCCTTAACCATCTTTTGCTTATAACCCTAATAACTGTTCATATCAATATATAACCTCAAAAATTGTGAAAAAATACCACTTTTGAGAATGTGTTCCCCACTACACGTGCTCATTCTGCTACCCTTACCTCTATGTCCATCCCCCTACCCATCAACCAGAGTAGTTCAGCTTTCATATGCCTCTTGCTTTACTCTTCTGGGTGAGATTTTATTTTAAGAAGAGTACTCTTGGCTAAAAAGGGCTTGCAAATTTCTGCTTAGACCAGCAAGTCAGGTATTCATTGCTTAGTCCATATTCTAAAATGTAATGTATGTACCTTGAATCACAGAAAACATCTGAAGATAGACAAGTTCATTCCTTCCATAAGCTTTCACTGATTAAATGCCTGTTCTCTACAAAAGAACATACTAGTGCCTTGTGGAGCTGAAACTGGGGTGAGGGATTGAGGTCATGCTTTGCATGCTAAGAAGGGAGAGAATTTGAGCCACAAAAAGGAGCAGACCAAATGTATGTACTTTAAGGAGCTAGTCATTTCTGCCAGGGCATCAGGAGAGTCTTCAACCCAAAGATGGCATCAGGACTGGTCCTGGAAAGATGAATAAAGTTCCAGAAGGAGGAAAGGAATGAGCACTTGAGGCAAAAGAGGTAGCCAGGAACATTCTCAGAGAATAAGGAGCAGTCTGGTGAGATGAGCACATTAGGGGTTTGGAGGGGTATGGTGGGAGGTAAATACAAAACTATAAGTATTACAAATTTAACTCCCTAGTTTGTGTACTCAGAAGTCATCTTTCAAGAATTTCTATTTTAAAGCTCTTTAAACTATTACATTTTTTAATTTATGATTTATTTATAAATGCATTACATAGATCAACATTTTATTTCTCTTTCTCTCAGGTCATGGAACTTCCTTTAATATTGACTGCAATATCTGTTCTTGTTTTGCTGGTAATTTGGTGTGTTCTACCCGCCTGTGTCTCAGTGAGCACAGCTCAGAAGATGACCGTCGTACCTTCACAGGTAACCATGGTCACCCAGAAGCTGCCCTCATCCCTTTGTACTCATGTTCCCTTCAAGGCAGCTTCTCTGGTCTTGCCTTAACTGCAAATTTTCACAGTAAAATTAATACATAACCTGAGAGCAAGGCACTTTCCTCCCTGGATCTGTTGCCTCCTCTATAAATTGAAGGCATTAAACTAAGTGGTTTCTTAGGGTCCTTTTAGAGTTCCATGAGTCAAAAAGAGCAGGGCCAGTGATTGGGATGGTTTTAGTTAAATGTCATTTTTCTACTTGCTAAAATACCCATTTATCCCTACCATTATGGTCTAAAGTGTCCATGTATTTTCTAAATTTGCTTCTGTTTTAATGTTTTTATTACCACCTTCTTTCTTGTCCTACCTTGTCTTACTGAATTCATATAGGTAGGGACCCCTATAAACAAAGCTATAGGTAGAAAAAATAAAGAGTGTTTCTCCCAATCTACTATATAAAATCTAGAAGTTAGATGTATCAAGTCTCGCCTGGGAGATTTCTGGAATGTTGAAGGGTGATAACAAAAGCAAGACAAAGACAAAGTTTGTAAACGCCTTCCATAGATTCCTTCCATTCATATCCCCTTAGGGATGGGGAAAAACAGGAAAGTAACTCAGGAAATTATTGTAATTTTGAAACTTAAGAATTTTTGTGAACAATCGGTCAAGAATATGACTTTCTTGACTTTCCTTTGCTTTATGCTGCTGGTATTATGCTCACACCAGCTGCAATAAGTGAAAAACCTAGCTCGATGGGATGCTCTTTTCTTGAGAAGAAGCTACGGTTGTCAACAGCAACAGCACAGTGGCTGGCATCTGCTGGTATCTGCTTTTTCCCAAATCTGAAATACCTTTGGTTCTGGGTGAAGAGGAACCAGGTAGCTGCCCTTACTCCATGTCTTGCTGCTGCACCAGCAGCTTGATTCTCCTTCCATGGAGTTGGTATTACACATGGAGTGGGGTAGGAAGAGAACAGAATAGGGTTTTACCAACCTTGTATCTCCAGCCCATTGGAAATAAAAAGGAGATCAGAAGTAAGAAGTGAACGGCAGACTGATGAGGAAGTAGAGGGAGGACTAGCTCCACCCCATCCTCTGTCCACCCTAATGAGTACCAGTCTTTGCTGCTTTATTCTTCTGTTGTTGTTGTCCTTTATTTTTATCCTTTGTCTGCTTGGTCTGATGAGGACAATTCATTCTGCTTAGAGAAACAGTTAAAATGATGTGGGGATGAAAAATGAACTAAGGACGTACACGGAAGACTTTTATTTATTTACTTACATCTAAGTGTTTTGGGAAGTTGAACTTTACGACTAGCAGGATGCTTTTTCCCTGTAGTGTGTAGCCCCTCGTGTCCTGGGATAAATTACATTAATGACTGTTTAGCTAGCAGACTCTAAGGAGATTTTACTGGCCACAAAGTATACCACATTCTGGGGGACTCAGAGAGTGCCCCAGTCCACACAGGACTCAGAAGGAGATGTTCATGAAAATTCTTAAGTCTCAAGTCACAATAATTTCCCAAGTTACTACCTTCTTGTTCTTCCCCCTCCCTAAGGAGATGGAAGGAACCTATGTGGCGCATTTACAACCTTCATTATTTGTCTTGGTTTTGATATTATCCTCTAACATTCTAGAAATCCCCTAAGCCAGAATCAAACATCTAAATTTCAGATTTTATATACCAGATTGGGAGAAACATTCTTTACTTTTCCTACCCATAGCTCTGTTTGTCTCTACCCCTGGAATCAAGATCTGGAGGCCCTCAATTAGCTGGCAATAAATGGAACAAAGGAAAGTCGTTATGCAGACAAATGGCTTTTCAGAACCTTGCCACCTTTAAAAACACTGTCAGAGATTGGAAGGATTTTTTTTCTGACTTATTAAAATTGTATTTTAACCTGAGACCTCTGCGTGCTTGTTAGTGGTTTGCCTTAATTAGGAAACATGAGGGGAAGGGGACCGTACAAATGCACATTGTTGAGGCACTCTCCTCCCTTCAGGTCTGCCCTGCAACTGTGCAGATCAGTTTGTCCCTGTGTGTGGGCAGAATGGACGCACTTACCCCAGTGCCTGCATTGCTCGCTGTGTGGGCCTCCAAGACCATCAGTTTGAGTTTGGATCATGCATCTCAAAGGATCCATGTACTCCTAACCCCTGCCCAAAAAACCAAAGGTAAGTCAAATGCCTCCTTATCTTTTTCAACTGAAGGTCACCACTTACTCTATACCAGACAGTGAAAATACAAAGATGAATTAAGGTGGTCTCTGCCCTGAAAAGTTGGAGTCTAGAGGGAAAGATCCAGGTAAAGCTGCTTGGTAACATGCTTTGATTGGGGGCCCAGAAGTTGAGCAGTTTACACAGCCTGGGGGAACCTGGGAAAGCCTCTAGAGCATGTGACAGTCGGCTGGAAAAACGAGGAGGAGACTGACAGCAAGGTTTACGGTGGAGGAAAGGTGGTGCTGGTGAAGGCAGAGAGAGTAACAGGAGCAAAGATCTTGGCTGCTGGAAACGAGGAGAGAGCGTGGTGTATGCCGGGAGCTAGAGCAGTTTTGTAAGACTGGAACAAAGTGTGAGGCAAGGAGAGGTGGCAGTTGAGACAAGAGAAGTAGATGCATTCTTGTTACTAGCTACTTATGCCTGATGGCAATAGGAAACATTCTACTTAAAACCTACCTCCATTGTAGGGATGGGACATGAGAAATCTCTGGAAGTGTAACTTCAGTATTTTATGAAGTTGTTTAGGGGCTCCTTTCTCTGCATTTTCCTCAGGAGCTCAGAGTGCAGTTGACCTTGCCTTAATGATGGATTTCTGCCTGTGGTGGCTGCAGGATGAGGGTCCTGATGATTCACTTAGGTTTCAAGCTTCTAAACTGGAGTTTTCACTGACTACCTCAGAGAGCTGAGCAGGACATGTCCCAGTGCCACAGTCCTTGCCTTATGAAGGTTTTGTGGAGAACAAGCAACTGCTTCTCCATCCTGAAAATCCTGGTGCAGCATGAAGGGAAGGAAAGATTTTCTCGTGTGTTAAATTTATTTTAACAAGTTTAAATTCTCTTTTAGCAAAGAGAGTTGGTCACCCATCTAGCAAAGTTTACATCATGAAAACTAAGCCCAGAGAGTTGCTATGGAAAGAAGACAGGGTGCTATACATAAAGAAACATGATAAAGAAATAAGTCAAAAGGATAATATAGTTGTGTTGGGAGGTAGAATTGAGGGTTGTTTTGGTATTTGTTTGTTTCCCTCTATTTGCTAACCTTTCTGAATAAGGTTGGCTTGCTTTTATAATAAAACAATAAAATCTCAAAGTGGAAAGGGCTGGCTAGGTATAATACAAAATCAATATAAAAGAAAAGTTTGAAAAATGCAGCTACATGAAAATGAAAATTTTCTGCATGGTAACAAACAAATGACAAACTGAGAAGAATTTCAGAGAAAGGACTGATGTCCTTACAATATAAAGAACCCCTACCAATCAATATGAAAAAGATGAACAACCTAGTATAAAAATGGGCAAAGACCAATAACCAATAGAAAATGGACCAAGGATGTAAACATAGGAGAAGAAGTACAGATGGTTCTTAAACACTTGAAAAGATGCTTATATTAGCTGGTGGGGAGTAACTCTAGCTACTGTATACAAAATATCAGTGCTTTAACATAGTAGAAGTTCAAATACAGTCCATTTGGGTGTTCAGCAGGTGGCTTTCTACATGTGATTCAGAGACTTAGGATCCTTCCATCTAGCAACTCTGCTCCTACAGCCTCTAGTCCTCCTCTGTCCAGCAGACAAGAGAAGGGAGATGATGGAGGTTGCTCTTGAGAAGCTTTTATAGGCCAGGTTAAAAATTCATCTCTACTTCCAGCCACACTCCATTGTCTAGAACTTAGTCATTTGGCCAGAACTACTGCCAGGGAGGCTGGGAAATGTAGTCTAGATGTATGCCCAGGAAGAAGATTAAATGAATTTGATGAATGATCATCTAGCCGATCTACCACAATGCTTAACCTTTCTCATATTAAGAGAAATGTAAATTAAAGTAAAACTACAATTGTGTACCATTTTCTGTCTACCAGATTGGTAAAGGTAAAAAGTTTGATAACAAAATGTAGGGAAGTAGGCATTCCCATACAAGAGGATTTTGGGCTGAAGATTGGTACATCCTCTTTGGAGGGCAATTTGTCCAAGGCTACCAACATTTTAAATGCACATACTTTTTGAGTCAGCATATATAAATGCTTATTCTTACATAAAATATCTCTGGAAGAATAAATAAGAAATTGATAATAATGGTTGCCTCTGGGGAAAGGAATTAGGTGGCTGGGACACAAGGAGTAGGAAGGAGATTTACTTTTCACTGTATATGATTTTGTGTCTTTTCACTTTCTACATGGGCTTGTATTATCTGTTCAAAAACTAATTGTTTAAAAAACAAAAAGTTGAGAATAAATAAATAAATAAAGTTATAGTCATTCATCAAGTATCTACTGATATACCAGGCATCTTTCTAAACACTGGGACACAATAGTAAGCAAGACAAAGTCCCTGCCCTGATCGTGTTTATTTTAATTTACCCCCCAGAGTCTCAGCCTTTCCTATTGATCCTCTTATTTCTGTACGTTCATATTGGTAATGTTTTTCCTTCCAAAATTACCAGATTTCTCCTGATATTCTTTGTTCTCATTCCTTCGATGTTAATAGATAGTGAAGCTCTAAATGTTCTTCTTTTTCATTATTTCTCTTCAAATGTCTTAAATTTCTGTAAAATTATTACTACATGCATTCTAATTTCTTTCTTCTAGTTTTATTGAGATAGAATTGACATATAGCACTATATAAGTTTAAGGTGTATAGCACAATAATTTGACTTACATGCATCATGAAATGATTACCACAATACGTTTAGTGAATATTCATCATCTTATATAGATACAAAATTAAAGAAATAGAAAAAAGTTTTTTTCCTTGTGCTAAGAACTCTCAAGGTTTATTCTGTTAACTTTCATATATAGCATTCAGCAGTGTTAATTACATTTATCATGTTGTACATTACATCTCTATATTATAACTAGAAGTTTGTATCTTTTGACTACCTTCATCTAATTCTCCCTCGCCTCACCCTTTGCCTCTGGTAACCACAAATCTGATCTTTTTCTATGAGTTTGTTTGTTAGTTTTGAAGTATAATTGACCTACAACTCTGTGTTAGTTCCTGGTATACAACATAGTGACTCAGTATTTCTATACATTTTGAAATAATAGTTTAGTTACTGTCTTTCATCATACAAGGATATTATTGTACGTAGTTATCAACTATATGCCCCATACTGTACATTTAATACCTGTGATTCCTTTCTTGTGCAACTGGAAGTTTGTACCTCTTAATCTCCCACACCAATTTCTCTCCTCTCCCCACCCTCCTCCCTCTGGCAACCACCCGTTGGTTCTCTGTATCTATGACTCTGTTTCTTTCATTATGTTTGTTCATTTGTTTTGTTTTTTAGGTTCCACATATAAGTGAAATCATACAGTATTTGTCTTTCTCTGTCTGACTTATTTCACTTAGCATAATAACCTCTAGGTCCATCCATGTTGTCACAAGATTTCATTCTTTTTTATGGCTGAGTAATATTCCTCTGTGTGTGTGTGTGTGTGTGTGTGTGAGCGCTCGCACACACACGAAGTTTCCCTTTCTCTACATCCTCACCAAGACTTATTTGTTGTCTTTTGGATAATAGCCATTCTGACAGGTATGAGATGATATTTCATTGTGATTTGACTTGAATTTCCCTGATGATTAGTGATGTTGAGCATCTTTTCATGTGCCTGTTGGCCATCTTTATGTCTTCTTGGGAAAATGTCTATTCAGATCCTTGGGGCCCATTTTTTGATTGGGTGTTTGTTTTTTTTTGATGTTGAGTTGTATGAGTTCTTTGTATATTTAGGATATTAACCCCTTATCAGATATATCGTTTGCAAATATCTTCTCCCATTCAGTAGGCGGCCTTTTGATTTTGTTGATGGTTTTCTCTGCTGTGCAAGAGCTTTTTAGTTTGATGTAGTCACATTTGTTTATTTTTGCTTTTGTTTCCCTTGCCTGAGGAGACATATCTAAAAAATATTACTAAGACTAATATCTAAGAGCATACTGCCTATGTTTTCTTCTAGAAGTTTTATGGTTTCAGGTTTTACATTTAAGTCTTCAATCCATTTTAAATTTATTTTTGTGTATGGTGTGAGAAAGTAGTCCAATTTGATTCTTTTACATGTAGTTGTCCAGTTTTCCCAACACCATTTATTAAAGAGGCTGTCTTTTCCCCATTGTGTATTCTTGCCTCCTTTTTCATAGATTAATTGCCCATATAAGAATGGGTTTCTTCCTGGACTTTCTATTCTGTTCCATTGATCTATGTGTCTGTTTTTGTGCAGTACCATACTGTTTTGATGACTGTGTAATATAGTTGGAAATCAGGGAGAGTGATACCTCCAGCTATGTTCTTCTTTCTCAAGATTGTTTTGGCTATTCAGGGTCTTTTGTGTTTCCTTACAAATTTTAGAATTATTTGTTCTAGTTCCATGAAAAATGCTATTGGTATTGTTATAGGGATTGCATTGAATCTGTAGATTGCCTTGAGTAACATGGCCATTTTAACAATATTAGTTTTTCTAATCCGTGAGCATGGCATATCTTTCCATCTTTATGTGTCGTCTTCAGTTTATTTCATCAGTGTCTTATAGTTTTCCAAGTACCGGTCTTTTACTTCCTTAGTTAAATTTATTCCTAAATATTTTATTCTTTTTGATGTGATTGTAAATGGGATTGTTTTCTTAATTTCTCTTTACGTGCATCCTAATTTTAAATCCCATCAGAAGAGGCAACCACATTAGTAGTAGTGATGGTGGTGGTGGTGATTTCAGTGCAGGAAGCTTATCTCTAAAAAGAATAGAAGCAATTTCCTTTGAAATTATATGATGCTAGCTAATACATTCTTCTCCTTTTACTTTATAGACTAATATTTGTGTATCTTATTATTTCAAATACCCAGTAAAAGCTAAACATTTTCGTAGGTCTTATCTTGTTATAGAAAATTATAAATACCCTTTATAGAAATGAGGGAGGCAAAAAGAGTCTAAAGAAGAAAAGAACCATCCTCCCTAACCCCTCTGAAGAAGTTCAGGGATTGAGAATGGAGCAAGGTTCAGGTATTACTAGGAAAACCCAGCTTCAGGGGGTGGCATTCTCTCAGTGATTCACTACCAGCCAGCATCAGGTCCTCAGCCTTGTAAGCACAGAAACCTGAAATTTTCAGCACGTACTGTGAAGCCTTCTCTTAAGATAGACTCATATTAGCCAAGCTGATAATTAAGCCTCTGAAAATGCTCCGTTTATTATTAACGAGAAGGCCTCCAGCATTGGGCCCCAGCCCATTTGATGGCTTCATATGATGCCTCTTCCACCCCAAGCATACTTTGCTCCTGCTCTCGGGGTCCCCTGCCCTCTCCCCCAGCACCACAGGGTTTCAGGCATCACATCTTTGCTCTGCTGCTCCCTCAGCCTGGCAGGCCTTCATCCTCCTGGTTCTACCTCCTCCCGGTGCTTTCTCCAGGCTCCCCAGTCAGAATGACTCATTCCCACGATCACTTGGTGTGTGATTTTCTACCTGATAGCCTGCTTTACATGCACGCTCGACTCCCCACTCTCCATAAGCTCTTGGGCACAGGGACTGTTTCTGATTGCTCTCTTACTTTCTCCTCAGCCTCCTGTGCCCCGTCAGTGCTTTGCCGGCCCCACCATGGTCCCTTACGCCACTGGCTCATGGTGCTGCGTTTGTGTTTTTCAGATGCATACCCAAACCACAAGTCTGCCTGACAACTTTTGATAAATTTGGATGTAGCCAATATGAGTGTTTGCCAAGACAGCTCACCTGTGACCAGGTCCGAGATCCTGTTTGTGATACAAACCACATGGAGCACAGCAATCTCTGCACTTTGTACCAGAGGGGGAAGAGCCTCTTATACAAAGGCCCGTGCCAGGTACCACTGTTTACCTGACAAACCCAAGTACGCTGAGCATGAAATCAGCTTATGATCTTTTACACATGAATCAGCAGTGAGACCCCTTCAGGGTCCGCTGTGGATCCCGTCAAATCTAGAGCACTCAGTCCTCCACCAAAAATGAGCCATCCCGAGGCTGGCTTTTCCTCCTAACACTGGAGGGCCCCCTTGCTCATGTGTGAACCTTTGCACATCTAGTGTACAGAGCAAGAAGAGGGAGGCTTCTTGCCGCCAACCATTAGGAAAAGAATTTAAAGTCTCACACGCCTGGCATTGGTCAGCAGCATCTTCACTTCCCCTAGTTCTGCGGGCCCTCATTAGAAAACAGCCCAGGAAGATGCGAGGTAAAACAGCTAAGAAAAGAGCTCTCTCCCCACTCTTCCCACTGAAGTCCCACCTGAGGTATGAAAAGTGACTGAAAATTTCTCTGAAACTTAATGTTGTCTTACATCAGTTTATCTTTCAGTCTTTGAGGGTCGTGAAATCTGTATTCATGTTAAAAATAACCCCAAGGACAACCCCACTGAGGCCTCCCACAGTACCACTGATCTATGGGCTGGGCCCTCTGCCTGGGGGAAGCCCAGCCTTGGGCCAGCACCCCCTGCCCACAGCTGGCTGACACCGGACCTGCTGGCTGCTCATTTCCTGGTCTTCATTGTCGGAAAATCCCTTCAGGTCATCCCCCTGGGCTTGTTTCCCCTCAGAGATCATGTTCCAAGTGCACTGATACCTTTACTCTGAATTCCTAGTCTTCTCTTCCTGTTGTTCCCTGTTCCTGGCTTCAAGTTTTCGCTTCCATGTTCCTAACCTACCTCATGGAGCCAGTCTGTCTGCTCTCCTGATCTCTCCACTCTTCCCTCTCCTTATCCCGTACCCAGCATGAAATGATAAGGCCTCTGAATTTGCATGAAGATTGGTCTTGTTTTCTTCTAACAGGTTCTTCTGGAATAAAGGAAGTCTGGAGGGAGGGAGGATTGTTATCTCATATCAGTTCACAGAGAATGAGTACCCAAGTCCCAGAGAGGCTGAGAAAAGTAATCTCTTCAATTCATCTTGGGACAGCCCTATTGCCCCCAGCCCCACCCCATGTTTAGCAACCTCAGGAGCTTACTTCAGAGGGTCCAAGAATTTATACTGTCTTTCTTCCTTCCTGAAAATAGGGAGACCTACTCTGCACTCTTGGTTAGGAAAAGTGCACCACAGAGGTTTACAGGCTAACTGTGCTTTCTTGCCCTCAGCCCTTCTGCAGAGCCCCAGAGCCCATCTGCGGGCACAACGGGGAGACCTACAGTAGCGTGTGTGCTGCCTACTCGGACCGGGTGGCGGTCGATTACTATGGGCCCTGCCAGGCTGTCGGGGTCCTCTCTGAGCACAGTTCTGTCACTGAGTGTGCTGCTGTGAAATGTCCTTCGCTCTCAGCGACCGAATGCAAACCCATCATCCCACCCGGTAGGCTGGCAGTATTTGGGGTGGGGCAGGGGTGGAAGTGGGAGGATTTGCGTATCTGTCTCCAGAGAGTGAGTCACTGAGAAGAGAGATGACTAGTGTGTTTAAACTTTTCAGGAAGTCTTGACTCCAGCTGATGCTGATTAGATGCATTACTCTGGGCCAACCTTAAAAAGCTGTGGATCTGCCTTAGACATCATCTGGTCTGGTGATTTTAAAACAATGTGGAAAACTTTTTTCAATCCTGCCTTAAACACCAATAGATAAACAGCAATATTTAATTGCTAGAATTATGGTTATTAGTTCAAATGCATAGTGTTTGCATATTATAAAGTTAATGAATAAGGAATTGGTTACTAATGAATGAATAATTGAAGTAGTTTTGATGAACACAAACATTTGAAATTGAGAAAAACAGAAGATGGTTGTTGTCTTAGATTGGCCTTAGCATCTAATTTAATTGTTTTTGTTGCATATAATCAAGAAAGTCTTGTTTCGTACAGGCTATTATAAGTGGTGACAGTTTTCAAACAGCTTACCTTACAGTCTCATACTCTTCGGTTAGACAGAGATGTCAGAAGAGACTTTATCCCAAGTCTGCACAGAACAGATTAACCTGGAGTCTAACAAGTTCATTCCTCTGTCCATGAACTCAGCAAATGTTTCTTGAGCTTCCACTATGTCCTAAACACCTTCTAGGCACTGGGGACACAGCAGTGAGCAGAACAAAGCCTCTTTCCTCCTGGAGACCACGATCTGACATTTTATTATGGTCTAACAGTTTAAAATAATTTTTAAAATTAAATTTGAATTAAACACTCATGGAATCCCTGAAACACTTGCTCCTGTGTTTCGCAGACAGGAAACACTTGCCCGGGATCACGCAGTGAGTTCTGAGCAGGGCAGGGTCTAGGCCCTGCCTGTCTTGAAAGGCCAGCTCTCCCTGTGCTGTATTAAACCACAGCTGCCCCACCTGAGAAGTAGCACAGGAGGAAAGCAGGGATGCAGGAAGGATTTCGGTAAATGTATAGAGTATAAGACTCCAGGTTGGTCCGGGAACATATCTAAAAGTGCAGTCATCAGGAAGGACTGCTGTGACTTTCCCAGCACAAAATGAAGGGCTGGTCATTTCACCAACTATTATGAATTCTCTTTGTTTCTAATTCTGAACACACATAAAATGGTTTCTGTTATACAGGTGCTTGTTGCCCGTTATGTGCTGGGATGTTAAGAGTTTTATTTGACAAAGAAAAACTGGATACTATTGCTAAGGTAGGTTGCTTTATGTGCTATGTACTGTTGAAACCTTATCGATAAACCTGTCAGTAGTCCTACAGACAGAATGAGTCATGTCATTTATAGATGAAGAAACTAATTTGCACGGGAGCAACTTGCCCAAGGCCGTATAGTAGCTCACAACCAGGAGAACTGGGGTTTGAACTCAAGGTGTCTGGCTCTGTCCTGTGCTCCTTCCCTCTACAGCCTGGCTGTGTGGTGACCTTGCTCTGCAATCCATCGGCCCGGGCCTTTCTCAGAAAAGGTCCCCTGCCGGCATAGTGGAGGCAGACGAGGCAGCCAGGGACTGGTCACGCCCAGATGGTCTCAAGGTTGCCAGCCCTCACATGGTCCCCATGCCGCCGGGGGCTGCGTCCAGAACCGGCCACATTCCTCTGATGGTTTTGCCTCTTTCCCTTTGCTGTATCATCACTTTTTCTGCTTGCTGTTTTAGAGACTCGTCTCTAGAAATGTAGCAGCCAACACCTGTCACTACCTAGAAAATTATGTCCATTTCTATGAAAACACCTGTATTTTTACAGGAAGGCTTTAATTATTTTCCTGTGGCGTCCAACTCAGAACTGTCCCTTAAAAAAGTGCTCCTGGGGCTTCCCTGGTGGCGCAGTGATTGAGAGTCCGCTTGCCGATGCAGGGGACACGGGTTCGTGCCCCGGTCCGGGAAGGTCCCACATGCCGTGGAGCGGCTGGGCCCGTGAGCCATGGCCGCTGAGCCTGTGCGTCCGGAGCCTGTGCCCCGCAGTGGGAGAGGCCACAGCAGTGAGAGGCCCGCGTACCGCAAAAAAAAAAAAAAAAAAAAAAAAAAAAAAAAAAGCTCCTCGTGAGAGTGTTTATCTCAGCCAGAAAACTCAGCAGTCAGAAAACAAAAACAACAAACCCGTTGGAATGGGCTCTGTGGATATTTTAGAATTCAGCCAGCAAGGCCCTGTTGGGGCCCCGCACTTAGGGGTTCCTTGGTTAAAAGAGCCTCTGTGGCTTAGGCAAGGTGGCAAGGCAGCTTAGGCAGTAATAAGGAATTCTTCTTTTTTTTCAGGTAATGAATTTTTTTCTCTCTCTAGGTGGCAAACAAAAAGCCAATAACCGTTCTGGAAATACTTCAGAAGATCCGCATGCATGTGTCTGTCCCACAGTGTGACGTATTTGGATACTTCAGCATCGAATCAGAAATTGTGATCCTGATCATTCCTGTGGATCATTATCCAAAAGCTTTGCAGGTGGGGTTCAGCACATGTTGTGCAAGCATCCTGTTACTTTCAAGTATGGAGGCCTTGGGAGGGGGTGAGGGCAGGAGGAAGGAAAGCATGGCAGTCTCTGAGGGGCGGAGCTGCACTAGGTTAGCAGTGGCCAACAGAACGCAAAGGAGTGGGAGAGGGCGGAGGTTGAGATGCTGTGACTCAGAGCGTGCAGAGATGGAAGGCATCTGCTCATCATCCAGACGAGGAGGCGGCTGAGGCCCAGGGAAGGCAGGGACTGACACAGGTCACGCAGTAACAAAGCCAGGACCGACTCCTGTCTCCCGAGGGCTGTGCCCCCACTGGGGAGGAGGAGCACGCCAGCACTGGTCTTATGGGCCAGCTCACAATCTAGAGGTGAACTTCACTCAGGAGGCCCAAGTTTCAGTGTCAACATAGTGAGGGCTCCAGTGAAGGGGGTGAATACAGCCGTTTATAAACTGCCACAGTTAGGAAGCTCATTAAGTCTAATTGCTTTCCTCCTGATGTGTCGGTGGGCATTGAAAGGCCACTCCCTGTGACTATGTTTAAGCTTGAAAAGATAACTTCTAAGCATGGAGAAGGGGTGAACAGGATTGTGGGAAAAGAAAGGGCAGTGGCAGTGTGGGTCATGGCTTTTTTCATTTGATTTCCATTGATGCAGTTATTTTTTGTGTAATAAATTGAGACTATTAAAATGTTACTTTGGCTAAGAAAAGAAGGACAAAGAGAAAGCCTATTCCTGGTGTTAGGATATTTGTGGAATTTGTCTGACTTGACCTTTTCATGGATTCTGTGATTTTATATTAAAAGAATCTGATTATCCTCTCCCAGATTGAGGCTTGCAATAAGGAAGCAGAGAAGATCGAATCCCTTATCAACTCCGACAGCCCTACTCTGGCGGCCCACGTCCCTCTGTCCGCCCTCATCATTTCTCAGGTGCAGGTCTCCAGCAGTGTGCTTTCGGCCGCTGCCAGGGCCCAGCCTCCCTGCCACTCCCACCTCTTCCTCCTCATCCTGGGTCTCGCCTTGCACAGGGTCTGGACACACAACTGACTGCCCACGAAAAGTGCAAAATATTCCTCGATCTAATCTTTCTACTTTGGAAAAGACGTACAGGACTGCTGGTTTATAGTTGAATAGTGGCCAAGTCAAAGCACTTGTCACCTCTAACCTCTATGCACCACACAGTATTTTTCTTAATCACCAGTGTTAGTAAGGGTTTTGTTTTGTTTCTACAAATGTTACAATACGTTCTTCCAAATACTGATGAAAAGAGGATGTCTCCTTCTGGCGGATCACTGCCTTACAATTTACATTTTGCTCATTAGATGTGTCCCCCACTCTAAAACAAATTCTATATCATTGGTAAATGAGATGATCACATTGTAGAAATATAGCTCACTTTACTGTGGGCTTCGTATCACAAAAACTTCATTTCCAAGTTCTTTTTAGTATTAAAGTGCCCCTAGAGTGTGTGTTTGTTTACAGATATTCCCTACTCTGTCTAGAAGTGAGGGGTCAGAGCAAAGAGCCACTGCTATTAGAGTATGAAATAAAGATAAGGCATCTTTGGAATTATCATATAAATCATCAGGCAAATTTAATTTACAGAAATCTAATTCAGGATTCCATTTAATGTGGTAAGCAAAAGCAAGCTAAGTAAACGGCACTCATATAATATATTGTAAGTGACAGTCTCAGTGGTTCCTAATGTGTGTCTGTGACTTTTGTGAAAGGGAGAAGTTATATCCCATCAAAGCGACTTGTATTATGCATTTTTATATTAACCAGATGTATATTCTTTGGTATCATCCAAGTTAAATTTAGAGTTTTTAAAGATTGACCTTTAAACCAATTGCTGCTACTTATGTAATTGCCAAAAAGTGAAATAATTAGTAGTTCGTGTAAATAATACATGATTTTTCTATTTTATTATGAAGAAGGTGAATAGCCATATTTGTAAAATGACAATCATGTGTGTTAACCCAGTACTTTCCGTTCATGAAGACACATTTGCTTTTTGTGATATGCACAGTGTAGATAAGTGTTCTGTTTGACTTTCTTTTTTGACATAGAATTATAAAGAATTGTGGTTTATATATTTAAAAGTGTCAATCTAAGTTTGAAAATGTTTGCATGTTGTCTAAGAAATTGAATACTTTGAATGTGTTTCACAGTTTGAAATAAGCTATTCAGTGTAATACTTCTTGTTTATATGCACCTAAGCTTAGATTTTACATGAAGTGTTTTTTTCAGTGTTATATGTACCTTCTGAAAAATATAGGGATATGCATATTATACCAAAATGTTGTTTAAAAGTGGGCACTTAGGGCTTCCCTGGTGGCGCAGTGGTTGAGAGTCCGCCTGCCGATGCAGGGGACACGGGTTTGTGCCCCGGTCCGGGAAGATCCCACATGCTGCGTAGCGGCTGGGCCCGTGAGCCATGGCCGCTGAGCCTGCGCGTCCGGAGCCTGTGCTCCGCAATGGGAGAGGTCACAATAGTGAGAGGCCCGCGTACCGCAAAAAAAAAAAAAAAAAAAGAAAGAAAGAAAAAAAGTGGGCACTTAAAGCTTTCAAAATTTCTCAGTGGTGATGTAGCATGTTTGTTGCAATTGCTTTTTCTATATAAATGTCTTCAATGCAATATACTGGAAAGCTTTTCTATTTTAATAAAATAATTTTATATGATTATGTGTATTTCCAAGCAATGTGCACATTTTAAATGAAACCACTGATCACTCTTGGGCAAGCTATGTCCTTTGCTTTGGAATAAGAAGTTATGGGAGTGTTATTACTCCAAACCTGGGAAAGTGGAGCAGATGGAACAGAGCTGGTCAGAGCAGACCCAGGCATGACCAGAGGCCAGGCTGTGGCAGAAAGTCAAGTACAAAGACCCCAGCTTTAGGTCTTCAGGACAGAGAGAGCTTCAGGCCCTCCAAGACCAGGAACAGACTAGGGAGTTCTGCTCCCCACTGCCTCGGCCCAATATTCCAGCCCCAGGATATGTCCTGGGAAAAAGGGAACTGGTCAGCAGGCCCGAAAGGTTCTGTCAGTCAGCAGAGGCTAAAGCCCCAAACCTCCATCTTGCTCCCATCACATGTCTGCTGTGGGTCAGCTGTGCTTCTTCTCTATACTGTCTTCGCTTCTGGACCCACCCAGTGTCCTCACAAAGAGAAGAAGGAGACGAAGAAAACCACAACTGGCCCTTAGGTCTCTGCTCAGAAGTGACACTGTCGTTTCTGCCTACGTCTTACCAGCCCAAGCAAGTCACTCCCGAGTTCAAAAGGTAGGGATTTGTCGTCTTCTGGTGTGTGTGTGTGTGTGTGTGTGTTGGCAGGAGGCAGTAGGGAAGGAGCTGGGGGTGGGACCATGAGTATTTTGAACAATGATACAGTATACTGCAGAGGCCCTTTCTCATCAGGATAGGACAATAGCCAGGACTGACTAAATTTCTTATTATAAAAGCAGTAGAGGGGCTTCCCTGGTGGCACAGTGGTTGAGAGTCTGCCTGCCGATGCAGGGGACACGGGTTCATGCCCTGGTCTGGGAGGATGCCACGTGCTGCGGAGCGGCTGGACCCGTGAGCCATGGCCGCTGAGCCTGGGCGTCCGGAGCCTGTGCTCCGCAACGGGAGAGGCCACAACAGTGAGAGGCCCGCGTACTGCAACAACAACAAGAAAAAAAGCAGTAGAATGAGAGAGGTGCTTGGGTTTGGGGGAGAGGGAATATCAAGGGAGGAAAAGATCTAAAGGTTGGTTCTGCCCTGAGGACACAATCACACAATTATGAGAACTCTGACGATAGATAGTCACTGGCCAAACAAGCCCAGTGCTGGTCAATTCAGGCGATGGTGCTCCTCACTGGCCAGTGGCTGTGGTGATCACAGCCAGGCTGCCTCATGGACAGGGTGTCAGTGGCTTCCTGGCCTTGAAGCAGGACAGAGCCCCTGCTGGTTGGCTCTGCCCAAGTGTGTCAGGCAGGCTAGCAGAGACCCTGTGGGAGTCAGAGGGGCTGTGGGAGAGAGAGAAATGAGGCCCATGTGCACCTGTAATAATGCCAGGGCTTAGTAGCGGGGTGGTGGCCTGGAAGTCCAGGAGAAAACGGTTCTGCAGGATGGGGACAGTTTAGCAGGTGAGGTAACTGCATGAAAAGGGGACTCCAGAGAAAGATTCAGAGGCTCCTATGGCCATGGGTGATGAGGCCAAGTCTCTAGGAAACAGATGAGATGGCCCCCTATCCAGCCTACAGGAAGTAATTGGACAGGAATGGACCCTAGGAGAGTCATAGGCCTGGCCTGGGTCACATGCTCACCTCTGTGGCAGAGAAGGAAAATCAGGAGAGCTTCAGCCCCACCTAAACCAGATGGAATGGATTTCTCACAGGAAACAGCGCAGTTCCTAGAAGAAACCTTCTGCTAGATGTGTCCTCTGGGGTGTGTGCATCTCTCACAGGCCGTTAGCCCCCAAACCAATCCAGCCTGGGAGCACACAGCTATGCCTCGCCCTCAGGCCGGGCGCACACCTGGAGCTGTCAAACTGTCAGCCACCAGAGCCCAGGAACAACCAACAGGGTCCCTGTGAGACTGACCTATTGAAAAAGGGAATTATCCAAAGTGATTGATAATAAAGTAATTGTTATCCACAGAGCAAAAGTGCCAACAAAAAGGAGAGAGTGATGAGTGCAGAAATTTTAAATCAGTACAGAAAAGAAGCAAGCCGACTTGGGGAAGATTCTGCTTGCCTCCTGGGTGCCTCGCTCCAGAGCAAGCTCTATCAGGGAGCTTCCCAAGGGCTCCGGGACCCGGGACCCGGGCTTAGGACTTGATTGGCGCTGGATAACACTAAACTGTGAGTCCCTCCTAAGTCATTTTTCTGTAAACCAGGGACGGCCAATGCATGTCATTCATGCCACCAAAGCGTCATTTGAGGGCTCCGTCATGGTCTCCTGGTGGTTGTCTCCGCTCCAAGCCGAGCTTCAAGCACAGCGTTCTGAGCGAGGAAAAAAGGGGATGAGAGTCGTGGTGCCTTCTTTTCCTGCCAGCGCCTCTTATGAGTAAGAAAAAACATCTCTCAGAAATCCCTCAACAGTTGTCCCTTGTATTTCCTTCAGGATCAGGTAATATTCCCAACCCAAGTCAGTTGGCCAAGAGGAGTAGGATAGCCGTAGCTGGCTAGTCAGGGGCTGCACACACTGCTGCCCCAACCAAGTCGAGGTGCAGGAGGACAAGAGTAAGATGGTCAAGGCCGCCAACAGCATTCGCCTTAAGATAAAGCCAGTTTTTTACAGTCTCAACTTGTTAGAGTATAAATATGAAAAGTTTTGTTTTTCCAGTAATTGCCCCTGGCTGTTCTAGTTGGACCCCTATGTCTAACTAGGTAGTGGAACCCCATAAGAACGGCTGGCTGATTTCATAACTTTAGTGCTTTCCTCCAGTTACTTAAACAGCCTCACTTCATTTCTCAGGCCTCTGTCCTGGTTATCTTAAATCTTCAATCCCATATCCAATGCGAAGGCCTCTTCCACCTCCTCTGGCCTAGATGCTTGCTTAGAGTTGGGGTGTGGCAGGGATGGTCTTTTTGCATCCAACAGAGACAAGGCTTACTTCTCAGTGCGTCGGTGAGCTTATCATGGTGTCACTAGTGGCGTCAGTCACAGACGTTAGGATGGCTTCAGTACAAACTGTGGGACATTAGTTTCTAGTAAGAAAACTTGTCAACCAAGAGCTGAGTGGTCTTGCCCTCAGCTATGGTTTGCCTGTACAAGACAGGAATAGGTAACCTAATTGTACAATGTGTCATGGGAAGTGTGAGGAGAGGGAGAGAAAATCTAATAAGGAGCAGACAGAAGGCTTCCCAAGGCGCTTGATTTGAGCTGGGCCTGGTGGAAATAGGGATGCTCTGCCAGATTGCTTTGAGGTGAGGCATTCTAAGTAGAAGGGACGGTTTAAGCAAAGATACAGAAGCAGGAGAGTCTGGGTCCGTCCCAGTGGTAGCACAGTGGAGCTGACAACTTGGGGAGGGGTGGTGAGGGGAGGTATAAGGCAGGTCACGTGTGCAGCCTTGAATGCCAGACCAGAATGGCACCCAAAGCCGCTGGCCTTGCCTTCCCAGCTATACTGGCTGACTGGATAGCTCTGGTGTACGTAGGACCATGGCCATCCAACTTCAGTGTCCAGAGAGACCTTCAAGATCACCCACTGATCTTGTTATGGGGCTGTGCTCCCTTCCCCTCTGTCCTGTGAACATCTTGGACTCTACGGAGGAAACATTAACTGAGCCTGGCTGGGTGCCAGGCTTCCCCTCGGCCTGGTACCCTCCCTCAGGGTTCAGCCTGGGTCTGTTTCAGCTCCACCTTTGGAAGAAAGTTAAACCCGCCAACAACGCTGATAGTCTTGACACAGAATCCATAGAAGACATTTTCTTTTCCTTCATTTGAATGGTTTTGCTCTAGCCCTGGCTGATGGGAGTCGAACCCACACATTCCCACAGAGGCAACTGTATTTCTCAAAGGGACCAGAGGCCCTGCTCCTGTCGCCCTCCCTCCCAGCTGCATGTGAGCTTTGCCAGGCGAGGGAAAGGGAATGCTGAGGGATCATTCCTAAGGAAATTCCTTTCCCCAGTCCAGCAATCTTGGAGCTGGGGAGCAGACATCCATTTTGTACACAGAGGGCAGTAGGCCCAGAAAGCAATATTAGCCCAGGGTCACACTGCGAGTCAGGGCAGAGCCAAGCCTGAGGCCAGCTCTGGGCCTTCCCCAGCACAAGGCAGCCGGGCAGGATTTGTGCTTCTCAGGGATGGAGCCAGCCACGCAGGAGAGCTCCGCGAAGGTGGACACCAGGAGTGGCCCGAGTGAACTAGGTTCAGCATCAGGTCGGGCTGAAAAGGCAGGCACCTGAGTGGGGTCTGACAGGTCCAAGGAGCAACAGGGATCATAAACGTAACAGACACAGCTCTCCTGCCCTTTCTGTGACAGAAAACGGTACAGAGAGGGCACGTGCTGAGTCTAAGGTCTGGTTAGGTTCTCAGGAAGTTAGGCTGGTGGGGGTAAGGGTAAGGCAGGAAGCCTTCACATGGGAAAGCGTGTTAACACCCCTGCCCCCAGCTCCACCCACTCTTTCATTTTTCCTAAATGAAATTCTGTTGTTTTCTTAATGTAAAAAATAACCTGTGTGCGTTCCCCCAAATACCTGGAAATATAAGCAAAGGAAAAAGTCACCCTCAATGCACCTTCCTTCCCCTGCCTCTACAAATGAGCGCAGAATCCTTCTAGAGCTGTCTCTGTACCTAGTTGGGGCAGGGTCCTTCCTCTGTGTGCGTGGGAACGCAGGTGGTTACCCCAGGACCATGGTTTCACATCTGGGACGTTGCCTGCTGGTTGGCACTTCCCTGCCTGATGGTCCGCAGGTGGAAGCTGCGTCTCGGCC